AAGTGTTTTGTCATGCCTTTTACCAGACAATTAACATCTATTACTTGGGAACATCTGAGATCAGTAGAGTTGACAGCTTACAAGATTTAAGAGTACTGTTCGACAAACATCTATCCTTTGTTGACCATATCAAGGACGTTATTGCCAAATCATTCAGGATATACGACTTTATATATCGCAACTGCAGAGACTTTACAAACAGCGAGGCTTTAAGTGTCTTATACTTCGCATAAGTTCGCAGCAGACTTAAATACTGCGCATGAATATGGTTTCCAATGTGCAAACTACATGTTAAGCATCTAGAATCTGTTCAACGAAAGTATTTGAAATTTCTAAGCTTTGTTGTTGACGGAACATATCGTCAACGAAGTTTGGAATACACGTTTCTATTGTAAAGATTTAAATTCACGTCGCTCAAGGTCCATCAGATATCATGCAGCATATCATGTTTGTGGAACAACCGCATTCACTACACAGGGCTATAAAAGATCTATTTTTAGTACCCAGAACAAATCACGTTCGTCAAAGTCATCTTTTTTATAGTGAATCATGCAGAACTAACCTGTTATCCAAGGCTGCGTTGATCAGTATGTGTACCTAATAATTTGCGACGAAATTCCGGTGGGACGCACGGTCTGGAATCTCGCCGATAACGTGTGGTGGCGGCGTACCTGAGTGCCAAGCCTTGGGCTGACTTTTGTTGCTGATTTAAAAAAAAAACACGTCTGGCCGACCTAGTCTTATGCGGCGGGAGGAGCGCCGGGGTTGCTCTCATGCCGGAGATACGGATCTCAGGTGGTGAGCGCCCGCGAAAACACGACAATAAAATAAAACGGCAAGGAATATTTTACAATACAACGAGTTTATTCTCTGCCACCAGCTACACGGCAAAAGGTACTTACGGTTGCCGGAGGGTCAAACTGCACTTCAACTTTTACTTTTACTTTTTAGAAAAACAGCCATACCACTTCCAGAGCCTTCACGGTTTCAAGGCAGAGTCCTTCTTCTTCCGCTGCGGCGATCGCGAATTTACCCCCGGCTAGCTCAGTACGCGTCCCGGTTTCCGGTCCGCGAAAATTCGCTTCGTTACAAACTTTAATCATTTGTGATATACATTTCGAGAGCTCTATTCGAATTAAGTGGCATGTTGAAGCATTCCTTGAATCTTAATTTCTTCTATGTTTTATAATATATTATATATTCTATACCTGGTACTTGTACTAACCTTCAAGTATAATTTTCTGTAATTGAGTATTTATACCTAGAAAATAAACCATTTATTTATTTATTATCCACCGCACTGCACACGGTATAAAAAATTACAACATAGGCTGAAGAAGATTAGCGGATTAGTTGTGCCGCAGTTTACATGTGCCCTCACATTAACAACAGAGATTCATAATGATTTTATTATTTCTTTGACTTCACACTTTTACATTGAAATTTTAATGTCTTTGTTTCTAATGGTTCTCAAATAATTCTTCTAGTTTATTCCTTTCTAATCTTTTTGGTAACCGACTTGTTTCGCAGATCCCTCAATCCAATAATCCTTTTCCGAGACAATATTCTTGTTTTTAGGATTCTTCGTCAATTGTCTTCTTTTTTGAATACCAATCGTGGACAACAACTGATTTTTCTTGTCTTTCTTTTAGTGCTTAATAAAGTCTTTCGAAAACACACTTGAAACTTGAAACCTCATATTTTGTCTTGGACTTCAGTTCCAAGTCGAAGTTAGTCTATTTTTTATCCGTTTAAAATAGAATAAAAAAGGTTTGGAATTCACTTCACGTAACTTCTGTCTGCATTTCAATTCGCACTAAAGGCGAAGTTTTTCTGTCTCTTTTTCTGTTCACCTACTAATTCGTCAGATTCCACTAATTTATTTTCGACTTTGGATACCAACGTTAATGTTTAACAAGGTTTTAGCAAAGATTCAGTTGTAATAGGGCTCCTCCGGCGAATTCCTACTTTCATATTTTCTTGACGTTTCATGACCCCTGAGTACGAAAAAGTAGGTTTTGATGTCTTTTTCCGTTTTTTTTTTCATTTTATGCAATCTTCTGGATTTATACCTTAATAATCTTCCATACGTTAATTAGGTATAAATCTTATAATATGGTTTAAAAATGCAGCTTTTGAATAGTTTTGCACATTTAATAAGCATTCCGTTCTTTTTTAAAAAAAACCCTAAAACTACAATCCCCAGTAGCAAAAGCTAAGTTCCACCTTCGCGTTAATGTTGAATCTCACTTTTCATAATGTGGATGCTTTTGAGTGCTACCGAGGTGTAAAATAAAATATGCCTCTCATGAAGAAAACTAGCACTGTATTATTCATTCATTCATGAATGTTTATATTTCAGAACCATTTTCATAAGCTGAAAAATGTGCACACCTACATTACTCATCTTACAAGCACACTGAAAATACCATCGTCACATTCGCCGCCCCTGAAGAACATCGCAGAATTTGCGTTCAGTGGCCCCCTATTATTTCGCTTCTTTTGTGTCCCTGATGTATTCCACATTCAATGCACGCGTACCAAAGAGTTTTTGTTAAATACCGAATATTTTAATACACTTCTCCTCGGTGGATTTTTAGGATTATTAATCTCAGCCCTCCACCAACAAAAACTACGCAGCCGAAGCGGATTATTTTGGCGGGCAACGATTTATTCAGAGGTAGACGGGACGGTATTGTAAAAAACACTGTTCACTATATTCCGATACTCGTTTATATTCGCATAACGCTGCAGTGTTTTTATTAGTTCATTCCACTTTTTCGACACATGGGGTTGAAATTAACAATAAACAGTCGAAACAATGTCACTGTTGATTGAGTACATAATCACTATTTGCTTTACATTTATTTTATGAAAACACGGGGAAACTATATTTTAATTTTAACTTTTGGTAATCCCGAAATATCTGCAGGGTGTGTTTATTTTGGAACGAATAAAAGCAACGACTCAAAAGGCCATTTTTAATTTTCTCGCTGGAGAAGTTTTCAGAATGAAATAAAATTTCGGTATGGAGATTTCTCATGGATTTGATATTTGCTAATGTATGAGGGTTTCAAACTTCAGTCCAGTCGTCTTAAACCTTTGATGTCGTTCAGAATCAAGGATTTCCTTAGTAATCAACACGAATAAAATTTACTACAAATATGTAATCACATTGTTCAAAAACATGGAGACAATAATAAAAAAAAGATTTAGATAGTGAGGCGAGAGGCTTACTTTATACAATTATTGTATACATACATAACAAACAGTAATAAAGTACATAAAATATAAAAATACAGTTTCTTGAAATTATCGGTGTCGTGGGGATAACAACTTGTTATAACTCCATCAAGCTCCAAGCACATCTATAAAAGTATATGTAATCAACAATATAAAAACGAAAGAAATAATAACACTGAAGATTAGGTAATGGACGTTTAAAACAAAGCAATTTAGTAGCATTTATTCTGTTACTAAGAAACTAATAAGGCTTATTTAATACTTGTAGTAAAGCTGTTTGTTCGTTTTAAACCGAAAGAGACATTTACTTTTTGGACGATAAAAGTTTTATGGTGATTGCTCTGACAATCCAACAGGAATAATTCCTCTTACGACGTCACTCATTTTTCGTGGCGATAACAAAATCCCAAGTAGTAAAAGCCACCTTCCACCTTTAATAATAGAGGGGATTTATTTTAAGACAATCCGCCTCTTTAGAAACTTAATAAAACTTTCTTAAATCCTATGCTTGTCGTTGGGAAGCATAATATATTAGAACCAACTTCCCAGCTTTTACAACTAGGTTGTGTCTAATCTAGCATTGTTAGAAACTTCCAAGTCAAACCGACTATATAACAGCACAAGCTCCAGACTAATTTATTATTCAAAAATGCCAAGGTTTTCCCGAATTCCGAAGATCGCTAAAAGGTGATGTCACTTCCGTTCACATTTTTGCGAGCAATCTCCAATTTTCTGGATCATCTGCTCTAACAACCCCACGAGCAATTAACGTTCCGCAAAAATTAGTTCGTGCATCTTGAATTTCATCATCAGTTTGAACAAGCCATTAGTGTAACATTCTATACATCCCTCCAGTGCGTCTTGGGCTACCACGGCTACGGTCATCCTTTTTCAATGCATCGTTAAACAATGGAAATGTGTTTGGAGCGAAATTGAAGAGGGATATTTTACATACTGCCTCCACTCATTCGAGCATTGTGCTGGTCGTGAATAAGTTTCAAGTCGCCTCGAAATAGCGTATGAATATGACGAGAAGGCACTTCACCGCGCTCCTACTTTTCAGAATTTTAAATGTGGCCCTTTAAACGACTTTCTCTCTATATGAATATTTCTTTCACCGGCGAATAAATTTTTTTATTGATACTTATTCGCTTTAAAAGAGGAGTTACCTTCAACTAAGCTGTTTTATGTTGTCGGTGTTTAAGAATTTTTTGTCCACCCATCGCGTTATTTAATATCGCTTTAGTAACCGATACATGAAAACTTAAAGGTGCTTCTGTTACAAGCCCGCGACATGTAATATATCAATTCTTCATTTCTAAAGCTTTAAACGTCGGTTCAAGGAAATTAATCAGTCCCACTTAATAAATTTCTAAGTGCTATTTTTAGACGATGTAAACAATTTGTAAGCAGCTACATAATTCGGTACATTTCTAAAGTAGTGCCGACAACACACAGTCAGACCGGCAAGGATTGAACTGCTTTCGCTTTTCCGATTTATAAATAACGTGCTTCAACTTAAGGGATTTCGGCGTGATATAATAAATATTAAGGCATGCATCCCGCGTAATCCCGCTTTGACCCTACACGTTAATGGAATATGTGAAAAGCTTTCGTTAAAAAATTTTGTTTGCGCTTGAGGTAAACATCCTGTTATAAATCCGCGAAAGTTTGCGCATAAAATTTTATTACTCCATAAATAATTACGTGAAATGTCCCCAAACTGTACTCTGACTTGTCGGAATCAAAAACAGAAAGCTGTATTACAGTTTTATTATAAAATACGTTATAAATAAGACACAAAGCGATACGTAAAAATAATTTTTTAATCTTGATTAACCAACTGATAAAACAGGGAGTTTGGCTCTGCGAGTAAATTATCTGGTTGATCGAACTCTGCGATTTGTCCATCATGCATTACCAGAACTCTATCACAATATAAAATAGTTTGAACTCGATGGGCGATCGTGAATACGGTGCTTTTTCTAAAAGCGGATCTTAACGTTTGCTGAATTTGCCGATCAGTCTCGTGGTCGACGTTAGCCGTCGCTTCGTCAATACACAGTATCTAAAACACAAGATAAAAGAGATTCCGCTCGTTACGACCGAGAACTTACCTTAGCGTTGTGTAAAACAGCCCTCGCCAAACAAATCAATTGTTTTTGCCCAACGGAAAAATTCGCCCCGCCTCCAACAACAATATTATTCAATCCACCCAACCTCTTAATTGTATCACATAAATTGACTTTATTTAAAGCATCCCACATCTCGCTGTCTCTGAATTCGCCTAAAGGATCAAGGTTTTCCTTTAACGTTCCGCTGAAGAGAAACGGCTCTTGGGGAATACAAAACAAACGAGACCTAAATCATTATTCCGTCACAAACTCATAACCTTAAATAAATAAATATTACCTTAAAGACTGCAAAGAAACCCTCGAAATATCGACCGAATCAATTGAAATTGAGCCTGAGTAAAGCTCAACCATTCGAAAAAGTGCTGATAGGAGCGAGCTTTTTCCAGCGCCAGTTCTTCCAACTACACCAATTTTCTCCGACGGCCTCGTTTCAAACGAGACGAACCTTAACGAAGGCGGTAAGTGCTCCCTGTTTTAGCCAGATTTTCACAACCAAGTGCGATAAGTACGTCTTTTACTCACCTATACTTCAGAACGACGTTCTTGAACGTTATAACTCCTTGGCTTGGCCAGCCGAAAGGCGGATCGATAACGAAATGAGTGCTTTCAGGGGGTATTTCTTTAATGTACTGATTAACTCTTTCCACAGAAATCATTTCTCTTTCTGTTTCGGTAAACGCGTTAACTACGCCATTTAGTGCAGAAGTTATAGACAGCGCGTACGACAAAGCCAACCCGATAAGACCTGACCAAAATTTATAGAAATCGGATTATTAAGCCAGTACGTACCTGGATCTGCGACATCATATTGATGCTGAATGATAGCAATAAAACTGACTCCCGCAACCATTGCGACCCCAATAAACTGAAGTCTCAGGCCCAGCCATCGAGCTGCCGCTTGACTGGCAAATTGTGCCTTGATATTGGCATCCACATTATCCTCATTGTCGCGCTTGAAACGCTGAGTTGCTCGCATTGCACGAATTGTCGTTAAACCTAAAATTTCGGATAGACATTACTTTAAAAACTACTTTCGAAATACCTTGCAATGACTCATTAAAATGGCTGTAAACCGGCGAAAGTGTAACGCTAGAAATTCGTTTTAGCTCTCTTGATGTTAGCCTGTAATTATACTGTAACCAGTGATAGACAGGGACGAGTGGAATTAGCACCAGACAGATCCAGGGTAAACCGTAAATGGTAATGACAACGGTTCCTTAAATTGCACAAATAGTTGATTTATTACTAATTTAAAAAAACCTACCTAAAAGTCCGAAGAATTGCGCCAACAAAATGTTAACTATAAAGGGTAAAGAATCGTCAACGGTGTATGTGTCGCTCGAAAACCTATTGAGAATTCTACCGATCGGGGACACATCGAAAAACGTAGACTTCCCCTTAAAAATAACTTCAATCAAAACACCGACGGACACAATTTCCACAACTTACTTTCAAAACGGATTTTAACAGCAACTTATGTATTTTCGACGCTGCAACAATTCCTCCATACGCAAACAAGAACGCTCTAATCATCGTAAAAACTGTATTTATACATGCAAGTTCTATGTAAATTCTTAAGTAGTAATTCATGGCGGAACTATCAGAATAACCGTCGAAATAGTGTCCTTCATTTAATTCATCATCAAAAAATGTACTCCAATTTTTACTTGGATCTGAGTCGCTAACCCACCGAGCCAACCACCAATCCGTCATATTTCTGGACGTTTGCATCATGGACACAGATAACAAAATCATGAAAGCCAAAGCATGCCCCATACCCTTCCAGTACGTGACGTAGACGTTAAATTCCACAGTACCAGTTTCGCTAACTTCATCTAAAAGCAAACTATCTCTGTCTTCCTCGCCTGTACTGTCCAATTTCACGCTGTCCATCAACGAACTTAGAGAAGATTGAGTACTTTCCCCCAGCTCCAACTCGATGGGCAACATATCGTCCATATTCGCCAAAACATCCGCCGGCTTCCCCTGCTGCTTGATAACGCCACCCTCCATTAACACAATCTTATCAGCGTGCACCAAATAATTTACATGGTGGGTGCATAAAACCCGTGTTTTGTCCTTCAGCAACCCCATGATGCAATTCTGGAAGATATGCTTAGCAACTTTGACGTCCACTGCGGATAAGATATCGTCGAGCAGGTAAACAGCCTTGTCCTGATAAACGGCTCGAGCGAGCGCCACCCTCGCCTTCTGTCCGCCAGATAAAGTCATGCCGCCCTCTCCCACACCAGTCAAATCGCCAGCTGGCAACAAATAAATGTCTTCGGCTAAACCACATGCGAATAAAACCGATTTGTAGCGGTTATCTTCGAAAGCTTTGCCGAACAGGATGTTTTCCCGCACGGTGCCTCTCTGGAGCCACGGCTGTTGCGTGACGAAGCCGAAACCTGACTCCACTTGGCTTACCGCGATTTCACCCTGTTGCACTGACAGTTCGGCGAGAATGGCGGAAAGGAGGGACGATTTGCCACAGCCGACGGAACCGATCACGCCCACGAATTCGCCCTTTAATGAGTAATAGTAAAAGGGAAAAATTTAGGAAGTGGTTTGCTTACCTTCTTGACTTTCAGATTTATGGCGGAAAGTAAAAATGCGGTGTTAGGGTCCGCGGGTTCGATGGGATCAGGTCGGATCGTTGTTCGTTTTCCTTTACCTTTGCCTTTGGACGCTTTTTTGGTTTGAGTGGTGTGTAAACGGGTTTTTTCTTCGGTAGTTAGTTCTTTTCCCCAATTAAATGTACCGTCTTCTATTATAATATCAGTGTTTTGGCTTGACTCTAACAGAGTTTCGTTGTAAAATAATTCTAAATCTAAATCTTCTAACTGAAATATATTTTTTTTTGTAAGTAAAGGGCCCAAACGAAAAATGATTATTTTATTTTTGCACACATGATGAAAATCTCATTTCATAGATAGAATGAGTTTCGTACGACATACAAATCCTACATCTACCATCTATCGTGTTTGTTGTTTCTATTGAATTATTTTTAGGCGTTTTGTTAGTTGTTTTTACTGGAATTAACAGTTCATTTAGAACTATGCAACAATTGATATATTTGTCATTATGAATTTTTTTTTCAAGAATAATACGTCACACAAGACACTGCCTCATGAAGGGATTGTATTCCGAAACATTAATTTTTACTTATTTTATATTCCAAAGATCAAAGACATAAATAAAAAACTAGAATGATCAAGAAATACCAAATCGTGGATTAATGTTATTAAACATCTTATAAACACAGGACTTCCAATTCCTAATGGTCAAGTAAAAATATCTGTGGCGGCACATCATAACGTAGAAGGTGAGGACAGATAATCACCACGTCGGATAGTTCAGTGGACAGAATATCCGCCCTGCAAGTGAGAGACGTGGGTTCAAATGCCACGCCTGCTATGAAATTTTTCCTCGTATCATTTTAACAAACTTAAAAATTGAAAAGAAAAGAGGTAAACAATACCCAATGAATACTCAGTTTCACAGATCAAAGAAGTGTCAATAATTTCAAGTATTGATCTGAAAATTAAATAGCTAAAAAATTATAAATCCCTTCAACGACACCACAACCCAATAAGCAAAGCCGACAAAAACCATATCATTAAAATGTATAGGAAAATATGAGATTATATATAAATTCGTCGGTGGCAATTAAGGCGATATTAGTACAGGGTTAGCCTTAAAAATTATGAACCTTAAACTGAAGAAATGTGGTTCACGAGTTGTGTTCTGCTTTTCAGAACATGGTGGCTCGTTTGAACATTTATTAGTTTGGAAAAGAAAAATGTCCATCGTTGCTTTAGTTAACAGGAAATTATTTTGTACAGTCGATTATAGTAAATGATTTCAGTTTGTTGTATCTCGTACCATAAAATCGAATAAAACCCCTCGAGTGGGTCATGAAATTTATTTTTTAAATTAATAATTCTGGCATTGTAGTTATTTGACACTTTATTTGATAGTTATTTGATCGCAACTGTCCGCTTAAACAAGAAACGCGTTGGTATTGCCATCATCATTATTTTAAAAATAAATTGCATAGCTTACTAGCGGGCTCTTTTGATCATCTCGAATTTCTTGACTACATTGGAAAAACTCTTTACGAGCAGCCTTCTATGTGCAAAAATGGACTCTAAAAATAATCCTTAAATCCTTAAAAATGGGCACGAACCGTAGAGCTCCATGATTTTGTGTCTCTTTTAAATGAAAGGCAAAAGTTTTAAATAGCATGTAAATTTTACAAAAAAAAAAGTTGAAAATCTGAGTGCAAACTGCATCAGACTTATGCTTCTTTAAAACAACTAATCACCTGACAATTCAATCATAATAATTAATCAGAGAAACACAGTTATCTATTTCCGAAGTTTAATCTAAAAGTTGTAATTTAGATGTTGCGAATACTGACGTATGTATTAAGTTCAGATTGTTGTTTTTGCGTTCGTACGATTAAGTATGACGTGTGTGCGAAGATAAAAAAATCAAACTATAAAATGTAAGATTTGTTAAGAGATAGTAGGAGCGTTGGGACACGCCTACGAAACATTTAGGACCGATTATAGACGTCTGAAAACTAACGTTTAGTCGTAAAATGTTACTAAAAGGTGGTACGGCCTGAAGAAGTCTTTGAGATATTAATAATAACTTACGTCTAGCAGTCTTTGTATCCGTTTGATAGACACCCACGCTTCGGTAAGTCCGTTAAGCACCCAAGGAAAGGCGTTCAGGGGACTGATGAGCATATTCAGTAAGGCAATACCCGTGAAGACAGTGGCCGCAGTCAATTTATTTCCCATTAGCACGTAAGTTCCAAATGTGAGAATTGAAATTAAAACAGGGGTAGTGGCCCAGAAATATACGCACAGCGCATCAAGATATTTCCGGCCTTTTAAGTATTTCAGTTCTTTGTCCCTTAATTCTGAAATTCGAGCTTTGAAGTTAATTGAGCCAAAAATTCGGCAGTGTATAAAGACGACTCGAGTATTTAACAACCTATTGTAATTATTTCAGTTTGCTAAATACTTCTGCTTGTTATTGTGTTCAACGTACTTGTGATAAGGCGGAGAAAATGCTGCTCCCAAACGTACAATTTAATGGCCTTAATCCCTCTCAGAACTTCTGTTATCATCTTAACTCTGGCGTCTTTTTCTTTCATTAGGAGTGTGCTGAGGCTTCCGATCTTATTGGCGATTAGTTTATTGATGGGAATTAGGAGCACGGAGAAGCAAACACCTGACACAAACGCTAGACCCACTTGGCTGTACAACAAGTATAAAGTAACCGCTAGCTGAAATTAAATCGTCTTGAACGATCGTTTCCGGAGAAGAAAACGGCAAAATTCTTACTTGAAATGGAATACTCCAGAGAGCATGGAAGCTCGGGCACGAATTGACGATACGATCCGTGTCTGTCGACATGAAATTTACGATTTCGCCGACTGAAAAGGCGGAATTTAAAACGGTTCCGCTCACAGTTAGTGTTTTTCTGTAAATCGTGGTAACTAGAGCCCCACGCATCCTCAGCCCCACCATCGCCATCCAAAAATTAAAGTGCGAATCGCAAAACGACGCTGCAACACTCTCGTTATCCAAAATCTACAATAATCTCGAGATCTTACAGATTAACGTCACCAGCATCAACAAGAATGCGTACAAATAGCCCCATTTTATGTCTTCCGATTTATTTTCAATGAAATTGACTAGCCTGTTTAAAAGCATCGGGGCGGCGAAGCCGGCACAATCCGCTGTAAATTTTAAAGCACCGACGCTGTAAAATTGCACCCAAAAACATTTATGCAGTGCCTTGAATAACGACACATTGTGTCTTTTAACTCCAATAAAAGTAACGTCTGGCGAAGTGGGTGTTGAATGGCTCGAAATCGATGAGGTGAAATGCCGATCTGACACATTTAATCGCTTTCTTATTTCGTCAACGTTACCGGTGAGCGCCTTGTCTAATTTCGTGCTGACTGTACCGCAATTTAGGGAAAAAGGCAAATCGTACAAGTCTTCTGAATTACTCAGCTTGCCTTGCACACCCTTTTCCATTAAGGGATTGACCCAATAGAATAATAATTTAGAGAGCCAAGTGACGTTCTCCATCGCCACCCCCAAATAACTGGGATCACCCTCTTCGGTGAAGCGGATGTAGGCATTGCCAAGTAGCGCCTGTGACTCTCCTATCTGAAATCGCCGCAGAACTCGCTTTACAATGGAAGATTAAAAATTTTTCCTTACCTCGGTGTACCTATCGGCGAAATTGAGATAGGTGGTGGACCCTTCGCTAGGAATGAGAGTGAAGGCATAGACGATCTGGAAGATAAGCTGGCAAATACTGAAGGCGTAAGCTAAATAGATGCTATAACTCGGCCTAATCGTGTATTTATAGATAAGTACATGACTCCTCACGGAAACTACGTTTAAAACGAACAATAGCGTCCATAGAACGCACACAAAAACCGGCCCTCTGGGACTCAAACCCAATCGCTTCCTTAACACCAAGGTGTACCCGAAGTGGCAAAACCAGGTGATGCCTTGCACCGCCGACAAAAAATACGAGATATAATAAATCTGGTCTTGAGTAACATTCAAGTCCACATAAATTTGTAATAAAGGAAGCAGTGCTAAACACAGGGCAATAAAGCAACGGAAATTGATGGAATAAAGTTGAACCCGTCCTCGAGTAACGTAACCCGAGTGACGGCCGAAATAATACGCCGAACAACAAGCAAAAAGAGAAAGAACTGGGATTTGGAGGTACAGCTGCTGGAAGCACAGTCCCAAGTCGTGCCGCTGGGGTGACCATATTTTTAAACCTCCCGGGCCGCACAAGCTCTCCCAGTCCCAACGCCACAGCGGAGGGTCCTCGAAACTAAAGTTCATGTCGTTAAGTTCGATTTCTGTAAATAAATACAAATGTCATAAAAACAAATTATTTTGATGCATTACATTAATTTAAGTTAAAGTACGCAGCTCTTGGTATTGAGGTTTCGCAATGATTGGGTTTGCTGAATGGGATGAGTCACCAATCATCATTTATTAACAACAACAAAAGGCGTACAATGAAGGATAGGCGGTAGTGGACTTACGCTACATTGACGTAATTAGAAGAGTTTGATTTGGACATTCCTTTGGTAAGTTTTGTGTTATAACGAATCAATTTTTTTCAACTTATAGAAACTACATTACAAACAGCACTTTCTTAGGTTAAACCACTGACATTTCTGCGATTCTAGTGCGGACTCCAACCTGTGGGTCTCGTTTTCATTCTTATCTGACATGAATGAATCATAGAGGGCAGCTGGTGCATTAAAATTACATTTGTCTATCTAGTTTCGATTTTTATCTAAATTAGTACTTACTTACTCAATTATCGAATCAATCCATCGCAACCCTGGACCACTGTACACGATACGTTTAAACAATATAATATAAAAGAAATTAGATCAAAAAGTTGCAAGTGCAATGAATGAAGACTCGTACACTTCAATTTTATAGGTCTTGTAACAACAAATACGAGAGTTAATCAGAGGTATGACGTTATCTATCTTTTTTAAGTCAGTGTGTTAAGTCTGCCTCTATGGACGATTTGAATCGAAGTGTATGAAAATTATGCACGTGTGTGGTCAAACTTAAACAGTAGAAGCAATTAAAAAAAAACTAACACAACTTTGATAAACTTAGAATGAAATTTGGTTTTTGAGATGTCGATTTGGTTAAAATAGTCTGGATTACCTGACAGATGTTTTATTAAGGTACGGTCGGCATAGATTGGTCGGATGTATTGGGTTTCTTCTATCTTAATGTAATTTCGCCCACGTAAAATTCAGATGAGTTAAGAAAGTCTCATTGAAAGCGATGCCACTGAGTTTAAATTTTAAAGCAACGTTACTGAGTAGGGATCAATTTTAAGTTTAAAATTATCGATAATGTGAGAGTTTAATTTTACGATTGTACTACAATATCTGCTGCCGACAGGTAGAAGCGTACCTTTAGTTTTCATATCTTCATCCTGATCATGTTTTTACACCTTTTTTGAGTAAGATGATAACGCAAAATATTCACGATAGTGTCTGCTTTATTGTAATTTATTTTAATTTTTTTAAGCATTAAAAATAGGGTTTGTCGTTTTTATGATTTTTTTTAATTCTTCAGAAGTTTTTCCATCTAATTTCTTCTAATTTTGCAATATTGCTGAAAACATTGTTCGTCTATCAGAGTATTTTTATTAACAAGAATTGCCTTATTTGAGGTTATTTTACTGTGAAAATTCGTGGCGAGCTCTTTCCCCAATTTTTGAAGTTCTTTTCTCCAGAAAAATAAATATTTTCTGCATGTTATAAAGTGGGTTAAGATGTATATTATAAAATTTTCATGTACAGTAACTTAAAAAATTAATAAAACTGTATGAGCAAAAATATAAATAAAAGGGGGAAATATGCATAAAAAAAATACAAGTCCCACTTTTTCCTTTAATGTTTGTTTGTAATTTTGTTTCAGTAAAATTGATTTTTCTATAACGTGCCAATATTAAAAATTAAAAATTCCATTGTCTATACCGAGTGTCTGGAAAATTGCGGATTAACTCTTCAGTACGGGAGTTGTGGGAGTCCCAAAAAATAATAAAAAAAAATTTTATGATATATATTACGAAAAAAACGTAATTTTATAAAAATAAAATTGGCAACACTGCACGGACAAATGCCATAACAACCAGTAGTAATTAATCATTTTGCGTTATTATTAATAAAACAAGCTGTTATTTTTCATTAATGAAAACAAACATTTAATAAAACATTCATTAATTATAAACAAAAACAAATTAACCAACAAAAGAAAAATCAAAAAAGCATAACCAACTAAACGCTAGAAAAGATGTTTAAAATTCCTGTTTTGTGCTTATAAGTAAGCTCGTAAAGTTTCCAAATTTTGATCATTTTTTTGTAAAAGTTAGTCATCAGCACTTTGTAAAATAAAACTGATTTTGGCAAATGAGAAACCCTCTAAAAAAGAGAGGGCGGGTGGGTGGGGCTAATAGATGCTAAGACAAGACTGATTTTGGCAAATGAGATACCCTTTAAGAAAAGAGAGGGTGGTGGGCGGGGCAAGTACCTGTTAAGATAAGATTGATTTTGGCAAATGAGATGCCTCTAAGAAAGTAGAGGGCGGGTGGGCGGGGTTAGTACCTGCTAAAATAAGATCGATTTTGGCAAATGACATACCCGCTAAGAAAATAGATGGCGCGGCTAGTACCTGCTAAAATAAGACCGATTTTGGCAAATGAGATACCTTCTAAGAAAAGAAAAGGCGGGTGGGCGGGGCGCAAAATTAACTCAAAAACAGGTCAGGTCAAAATTTGTCAAAAATAGAACACCAGAGTCCCCCAAAATTCTTTTAAATAATTTACAAAAAAATCTCCCAAAATAATACACTATTGATACTCAAGAGTCTCCCGAATTAAAAAAAAACATTGCGGCACTCAGATTCGTAAAGAATAAAACACTAAAAGCTCAAAAGATTTTTTCAAGTTCATCCAGTAACAAAACCCAGATTCCTTTAAATTTATCCGAAAATAAAACACCACAGGACCTAAAATTAACTGCGAACATTTTAAACGTTTTGAAAACTTTGACAATTTTTGATACGTCAAACATTTTTAACTGTTTACTCGATTTTTGCTGATTTGTACCTTTATATTTTGCAAACATTGTTGTCAAATTATTACAAAAACAACACAACCGTATCTTTGTACATTCTAAAATGGTAATTAAACATGGTCATGGGCGAGAGAAATATTAACGTTTTATTCCTAGTTATTGTGATAATGAATATAGTTCTTAAACTTAGGAAAAGAACCAATTTTAAAATCATTATAACTCCACCAAAATGTGAGAAGGAATTGAGAAGGCTTTTTTTTACTATTTTTTTCCATACTCAGCAATTGATTGTTAGAGCGTAGCGGAGAGTTAATCCGCCATTTTCCATACACCCAGTAGGTATAACCCACGAACAGTTTTTTTCAACAGGTTATTTTCAAATTCTTTTTAAAATTACGAAAAAATGTTTCATCACGTACCTTTTGAAGGTGAATATTTCAATTACTTAAGGAAATTTGGGAATGCGGTTTTCACCACTGTTTTTAACATATATAAACCAAATAAAACTGAATATATGCACCTATTCATGAGTAGAACCCATATTCCTGATCATCATTAGTGACAACACACTTTTTTATTGTGTAAGTTTTGTGAAGCTTTCGCTCTTGTCTGTGGCAGTTTAGTACCTGTTGATAATAATCGTCACACCGAGAAACTAGATTGACAAAATTACATGTCTTTGTTCGGTAATTTTGGAATTCCAAAGAAATTGATTCCTTAAAAACCTGATCTAGAAGAAAATTATAATATTAATTCTAAGGGTTGAAGGTAGAACCAAAAACAAATTCACTGGCTTAGAAGTAGCTTCTAGAAAGTCACTTCATCCAAACAAAGCACGGCCAACCCACCACATGGCAGTACCAAAAAAAACCTGTGGAGTGTTGCATGTAACGAGTAACTACTTTTTTAAATTTTATACTTAAATAATATGTATTTATTTAAAAAAAAACGAAAAATCGTGTGCAGTTAAGTTGGTTGCTCAAAATTTTTTGCTGAATCATATTATATATTTAGCCGTTTCTTGTGAAGAAAGTTGTTAAATATTTGATACTATTATTATTTTGATGCACGCGCCCGATAAAAAACTTTTCTACCTTAAATTGGAACCTTGAGGATGTGTTTTGAATTCTTCATGTAATTAATGGGTAAAATAACTTACCAAAATTTTTCGTCAGTTATAATAGACGATGCTGATTTTGAAAATTACAACAAAATATCTATGGTTTTTACTTAAAAAAACACTAGAAAACAGTGGGAACAATTTCAGCTAGTTTTTCTAGAAATATTTAAATACTAAAAAAATGATAAACTTAGTTGAACACCATGAACTATTTTGCCGCACTAATTCAGTTAAACATTCCCTCACCCTTTCAGGAATAGCAGTTTCTTTTCTACTTGAAATTTAAATCGAAACATTAAAGAGTACGTTTGATTAGACACAAATGTCCCAATATTTTGCATACACCTGTCCTAGAATGAATAAATAATGACTTGCTACAGGTGTACAAACTACGTTAGTTTTTTTAAATATCTTCGTTACTCATCAAATAATACTTACAAGGTCTACTTTTACAGAAAATGACAATGGAAGTGGAGATCGATCAACCGGAGGGATCAGCAGCCGAAATAATTGATAAAGATCAAATAATAGACTTTTTAACTAACAATGAAACAATCTGTTTTAAAAGTCAACAGAGAGGAGAGGATGACCTAAGCAAGCAAGAAAAAACTAACATCGCGTTAGAAATTTATAACAAAAGTAAATTAAATTTCCTCGTAAGATTTGGTAAATACCTTCAACGGAGCCAGTTGGACTTCTTCCAACAGTTTACGCAAAATTGCGAAGAAAGCGACGAAATCAACATCGTACTCAAAAATCATCTTGAAACAGTCGTTAAAAAGAAGCAAGTAAATGTGAAAAACCGGCGGTATGAGGCTCTGAAGGAAATGATTCGGGAAGACTCGTATTTTTCCGAAATTGAAATGATGAAACGCAATCCTTTATTATACGACCAACTAGTAGGTCAGTATATGACTGAAGAAGAGAGGGAAGAACGAGATAGAATTAACATCAATGAAAATTCGACTTTAGTAAAAGTTTTAATGGAGGGGATCGAACGAGATAACGCTCAAGTGAAGAGAAAAAAACAAGAAGAATACGAAGATGAAGTACGGGAAGAGGAAGAAAGTAACTCTGACGACGAGATGTCGACCTCGCCAAAAAGCCCCAAAATTACGCACGTCCAGTGGGGAGAATTTCTAAGTGAGCCGACTGCACAATCTGCGAAAAAAGCTAAAACTAAACATGTAGCACCCGAAGAGCAGAGACTGTTGAAAGAAGAATTTGTTTCGACTATGTATCAAGATTTTTTGGATGGAAAAGATGACGATTTTGACTACGATAGCGTTGATAATAATGAGAAATACGATAACAATGAAATGGTGGAGAACGACGAAGAGGAGAAATATTTCGATGCGGAAGAACCGGAAACCGTGCCGTGTTCACAGAGTCCGGAAGAATCGGAAGACGAATTGGACATTTTCATGAGCGGTCTAAATCAACATCCTGGTGTATCTCAACTGTCTAAAGACATTCAGAAGTTATAAACGCAGACAATAAAGTGTGCAGTATCGCGGTAATGTTCAGTGAAACTTAGTATCAGTGCTAGCAATCAGGTTAATGGGTAATTAGAGTAAGAACCAACCGCGAATAGTCTGTACATATTTAGGGAACAATTAGAAGTTTCTCGTTGTGTAAGTTGTAAAAATTAAATCATTTAATTAATTGAATGCAGAAGCTTATGGACAGTGAAACTATGAAAGTTATGACTATAATATAAACTACACACGTGACTTGTGTAACACACGTACCAATAAAAAGAAAGTGTTATATTTATTACACATGATTAATTTTTTAATTTTACATTTGAGACGTGCGGGAGTTACGTGTGAAATCTGTTTAGGTGTCTTGGAACGCAGTGTGTCTTCCAAAAATGTAAATTAAGAGCGGCCATTTCTTTTTCATTGAGAAAATAACTTTACAAATGTTAATTATCTGGGTAAAAGAATGCGATAAAGAGCAGCATAGTAAGTTTCATCAGACCACACGATCGTTTGTTAATGAGTAAACAAGCGATAAAATATTCAGCAGGGGTCAAACAAAGAATGTCGGAAGCGAATATAGTGGACAGTGTCCAAAGAGAAAGTGGGCAAAAGCTAGACAAAGTAAAATTCAAACCAGGTACTACGAAGACAGATAAAAAACCAAGATTAGGTCGCTGGTAATGATATATAGTATTGATTCGTTCGTCTGCCGGAAACTGATAATTATGTTAAATTTGTATATTCGACAAGTTTTAATTAACACATGTTAACAAAATTATTTGTTTAATTACATTATTTCAGACACAGTTAGGGAACGTGACTTTTCCAGGTGTGTATCTAAATTATACATATTATAAAATTGGTCTCGTATAAATCAGGTCAGACGCTAAAGTGACACAATTCTCCAAATTATTTAATTTTCCTAGCCGACGTTAAACGGGAATCGGTGTGTAAGTGTAGCTTATTGGGCGAAGGTAATGCCCGGAAGTTAACCATACTCTCCCCGGAGCGGAACGCGGCCTCACCGGGCTTTGTTCCGGTTTTCCGGCCCAGACTGTGTGAAAATCAAATGTTGACAGCCACGTTAGTCATTGAACTTTATAGACACTCCAAATTACATCAGCTGGTTTCACAATGAGAGTCTTTGGAAGTGAATGAGTTTGTTAGGGAGGAGGGCATCAGGTCTAGAGAAAATAAAGAAAAGTGGGAGGGAGGGGGTCATGTCGGTAATTCTCTGGTCTTGTGTGATCAGTCTTCACATAGAGTGTTTACGAACAACACACAATCGAATAATTAACAATAGTGCTAAGAACTTTTCACGCAATTTCAAAAAGTGTGAACAAAAGAGGCTCGTTTTTGCTACCATGTGTGCCATCCTCAGTTTCGGGTAAATCACCAAATTCATGGAACGTTGTCACTGAAGATACATATCTGGTGAAGGAAACGCAAACTGAAGGTAATTTTTACATTTTTATTTACTTTATTTGTTTCGTTGAATAGCTTCCAATAATTTTTCCCGATCTGCGACGTTTAAAAAAGTCAAGGAAATGCTAACACACACTGGGTTATAATAAAATTGCACGTATTTAAATACATACCGAACTAAATTCAAACGAAATTATCTCTTGTAAAGCCACAAGCGACGCCTTTATTCTAATCACATTTGAACAATTATGCATTCGGACCACCTGCTATTTTACAATGTATAATTATAGATCATAAAATGATACTTCGCGATAAATCTGAGGCGATTGCGATTTCGAGAAAACGATAAGCGACATCGCTTATTCGACCCGCCAAGGGAAGCTTTTACATTGTAAGGGGAATAAAATCAAAGTCAAGAGTTCAGTTTTGCATTTAATTGCATTTTAATTACATTAAATTATTATAAATTGCAAGTTCGCATGCCGTAAAATTTTACGATTTACGGTGGGTCTTCTTGTCGAGTTAACGTCTTAATCTTTTGTAACAGAACAATTCGAGCTGCCATTTATTTTTGCCGAACAACAAAAAATTAATAAACTTTGCATGATTGATAATGAAAAAGATGTTATGTTGGGCCCCTTGGGCGGCAAGTTACCACGAATTCTCAGAAGGCGAAGCCGCAGTGCTGTGGGAGGGGTTGCTAATTGGAAATATTAAAATTTTGTACAACGTAATAAACTACAATATTCTAGATTTACAGGTATATATTATGTAACAGGATAGTATTCATAATGGCTACTTGTTATTTTCTTTACAAAGGAAGTTGTAAAAATACACTATAGCATGTATAATTTTTTTTGTAAAGTATAGGTATATAATTTATAAACTTTTGTGTTAATATCTCAGAGAGAATATTTTGACAGTGTATTCCATATCACTACAAATGTGTCGAAATAAAATTCATACTAATGTACATTTTGTGTGCAAACAGTAAAAAGCCAACAATGTAAAATCAAAATTATTATCTACCTATATAGAAGAGAAATTATGCAATACAACAATCACAAAAATTTGTTTATTTAGGAATATAAAAAATAATTACAATACTTCAATCTGTACGAAAATGATGGCGGTTTTTCTTTTTGAAAAGGAAGTGTTTCTTTTTCTGAATTTATCGAGGGAGCACCAAATTTATACCACGCGCCAAAACAGAATTTTTGAGGAAATGCAGCTTTCATTCCTGAAAAAGTTCAGTTGGAATTTGGTTAAGAACTTTAAGAGCTTATCCAAAATTTCCGAAACAAACTGATTCAGTTAAAAAATATAACAATAACGATATTTGTAATATTTTTCAAAAAATAGGTGTGACTAAGACAACTTGAAGCGAGTTATCTTCGTACAAGATTATATCAGTAAAAAACTATTTTTGAAAATGTCTGCGTTGAAAATTCAAACAGGCCTTATCTACTAAGTTTTCTAGAGATTTTTCAAATATAACTAATTAAACTTAAAAAGTATAATTTTGTATTTTCTTCACGATATTATAGATGCAGAGGAGGTTTTTTCCAAGATGGAAGTTTTTTGCCTAGATGTACAAACACACTTGGATGACAATTTGGACGTTGATTTTATGGGAAGATAACTTAATTTGTAAGTGTAGTCTTCTGTTCATCAGTCAACAACTCTGGTGTACAGAGAAATCACAAATATTTGCAAGTAATTTTTAAATACCTGTTGCATGTCGTTAAAACATTGGATAAAGTTCCAGAAAAAAAGAGCAATGTTTCAATATTTTCCAATAATTTGTTTTTGTTGAATATATTTACGTTACGTTTAGAGTACCTTTTCTTGCGTAGGCATTAAATATATTTAGGTACTACATTTAAGAATATTGAATAGGATAATTAAAATTAAGTAAGTATGTATAAATCAGTAAAGGAAAATTACACAAAATTAATCTAAAAATCTACTTGGAACTAAAATGTAACATTACATTTGTCAGAAAAAACTAACTTTACAGTTTTACGATATAAGAAACTAAACTTTTATCAAATTACTTTAATCCAAGTCAGTAGTCTCTATATCGTTAACCATGCTTGAGATATTGCCGTAAAATTTAAAGATTTAAAGAGACAATTGAAGGTTAACTTTTTCCCAAAATGTTTTACTTATCGTTTTTGTAATAATTTTTCTATATAAAACAGCACCTTCATTTGAATTGTTGACTTAAATTCAATTAAATTGTTGACAAGAAAATAGGCCCTAAGTTTTGGAAAAATAAAGTAAAATTGATAAATAACTATTCTATTGGTATTATTTTATACATTTTATAAGACTGTTTTTTTGTCCGACGGAAAAGACTGCGACTTTTTATTGTAATATATTTTAGAAATCCTGCTTTGTGGTCTATTAACCAATAAGGTACCCTTAACTCCTGAAAAAATATTAAAAGAAAATGTTGTAAAAAAAATCACAGAATAACTGAAGGTTCACATTTTTTATTCTAATTTATTATATCTTTACAGGACATCGTACATTTTAGGAAAATACCAAACTGCGCCGATGTAGCAGACTTAAAAAAAATAATATCATCTATTTACAAAATTAAACTAGTTAAGTATGTATATAAGAGAAAAAAAAATTATTAAAAAACAAAGTATACAGGAATTGTTTGATATACCTGTCCTTTCAAGTATTTTTATGAAAAATATACCTGTATAATCTATTCCTGAAATATTAATTCAATACATACCACTAAACATAACAAATAATTTAAATAATTAATAACATTGCCAGAAATAAGTGATAAATACCAAAAATTCCAATGATATTTTTTACGTGATCCACCCTTTTTAACTAAATTTTCGATATTTCTACACAATTCTATCGAAATTATAGTGTTTCCATGACGCCAATTTTAATTTCCACTGTTAGATTGCACAAAATTCAATTTAGAATATTACATGGGTTGTAAAATTGCACCTTATTTTAGCTGCCGAGATGGTATTGACAAAATCATCTTATGAAAACTAAACTTTTTAAAAATAAAGTAGAGATTTTTCTCAAATTTCAACATTTGTTTTTGAAATTTATTGCTCTATTTTTTATAATTATTTCTTAAGAGCTCAAAATTTTGCACTACTACGCGATTTTTTTGAAGAGGTACTAGAAAAAGGGTTGTATTGAACTTCACATATATTTAACGTCTTTGGACGTAACATATATATCCTACTTATCAATGAAGTGAAGCTTCAACATTTGCCACACATTTTTTGATCTGTTATCACAATCTAATTCGTGCAGAAAAGCACGTGACGTCTTTAAATATGTTTCTGATTAGTATGTGTATACAGAGCACAGAAATTGTGTTTTCTTTTTTTTTCAAATCAATATTTTTTATTAATTTCACAGGCTTCACGATCGGAATCAATACATGATAGTTTTCCGGGTTGGACCGTGTAAATTGAGTTTTTGGGCTCAACGTTTCGTAAACTTTCGTAAGTGGCATCTTCAGAGGCAGGGTTAAGAATAAGGCAAAAGAGCACGGCCAATAAATTAAAAAAAAAGAGTTTCGCCTCTGGTATGGTTGACATACTGAGTTACCGTGCTCTTTTGCTTTATTCTTAACCCTGCTCCTGAAGATGCCACTTACGAAAGTGTGCGAAACGTTGAGCCCAAAAACTCAATTTACACGGTTCCAACCCAGAAAACGATCGTATAATATTTTTTATTATTTGCTCAGTTTTTCCACCCGACACTAAATTTACCGGGAAGAGTTGCAGTTGGGTACTAAGATTATATAGGCTGATTCAAAAAAGCCACACTAACTCAACGATACATCAAGTTTGAGAAAAATCAAAAAAATTCTATACGTTAATTTATTTTTCGTAATAGTTATTATAAAATGATACAAAATTATTTTGAATAATGACAGTCAGATCGATTTCATGTAGCCGACACTAAGAGGTGAATTAAAACATGGTCAATATCTAAAAGAAAAATTAAACTATATTTGGGTCCAGGGATTTGTAAGAATATTTTTCTTTGCTTAATAAATGTATGTCATAAAAGTCGCAATTTGGTCAACAGTTTTAAGGAATATGGTTTTAATCTTCGAAGTTAAAAAACATCGCTAGTGTATTATCCATTTACGTGGCATATTACAATTTTTATAAATTCTGTTTTGACCTTCTAGTCAAATCAGTTATACCATGAATGTCAAATTTGTGTAATTGCACTTTAAATAGTGTGTCTTCTAATTTTCCGTCGGCTCCGCTTTGGAAATTCCAGCAAATATTTAACGCTCTAGCTAGTTTTTCCATCTGGAACGGTCGATTGATAAAAACATCGTCTGTCACGAATCCGATCACACGTTATTCTAATAGTACCTGTGACAGATGGTGTAAGTCCACCCACATTCGCCCACATGGTTTCGGGTGTTCTCACGACACCCGTGGATCTTTGGGAGGTATCGCCACCTCTTAAGTCGATGTTACCGCCGATGACCTACGCACACCTCCATTTGTTACCGTCGAGAACAAGCCGTTTTGCATCTCGCCGACAATCGGTTTGTTTTTTCCACTCTCGAAACGGCACGATTAATTCTTGGACAAAAGCCGACAGGGCAGGACTCGAACTGTCAGCTGCCATGACCTCGACTGAACTTGATGTTCGATTAAAAAAAATTGACCCTTACACAATGACAGCGGCTTAAAATTTAAACTGCTGTAGCAATTTATAACGTCGTGACATTTTGTCCACAGATCGACGCTAATTTGAATATTTTTGTATCGAAAAAAAGACATAAATTATATAAGTTACGTCACACCAAATTGATTGTTATTGTCACGCCATTAACGGTAAACGTTTGTTTGTCTGGAGTCTAGGAGAACCCCCGCACTAGCTCGTTCTGCTTCTCTTTCGCTGCAGTTCTGTGGAAAATACTTAATTTCATAAATTATGACCAACAGCGCGTTTAAATAAATCAGTGGCATTATTAGCGACGCGGCCAATAAATTTATGAATTAACTGGAATCATTCTATCTTAAGCTTGAGTTAACACTGTAGCGGTTTATTTTGTTATATTAGAAATTATGGCGGCAAATATTTTCACACAGAACCGAGCCCAGATCAGACGAGTTTCAATCAAAAACACATCTCATTATAATGAAAAGTAGCATAAGTGTGATAAAGTGAAACTAAAAAATGTGCAAATCTTCGCAAAACAAACACGACACGATTAGTTTTCCCTTCAAGACTTTCCATAAAATTAACGCACGCACTAAATACTTGAAAAATTTTCACTTGTGCGACCTGTATCGCTTAAATTTTCATCTCCTGCAGCTGCAGCGCATTTACTTTTTTTATTTTGTTAATAATATTCAAGTATGGGTGCTGACTCACCAGGAACTGAGGTCGATGGTGCGAAGGAAAACCAAAGTGTCTGCTTGCAAATATTTTTAGATATACCGTAACAGTCCAATTCATTAAAATGACATTTATGTAGACATGTTTGGAGTTGAAACCCATATCTGTTTTATTCTAACGGCACGAATAATTGAAAAACTAGAGATATTTGGAGAGTCAAGTCGGATTAAGAGCTTTTAACATTTTGACATTTATTAGTTAAAAATATAACGTGCAAATGTAATCGGAAAAATATGTTAAATATGTTCGCGAACATTTCCCGCATTACGGCTTTCGGTTTGAAAGCGATTAAGTGCTATGAAATTGCCTCTATTGTGCCAACTTTATAAATAATGGATACCGACGCATAAGTGCAACAATAAGGGTCACTTTATGATGCCGGCTCAATGGTGGTTAAAGCATGACGAAACTTTCATTGACTTTCGATTTTGATATGATCTAGAGCATTTATAACATAATGGTAACATTGGCTAAAAATTCGATTTTTAAACGGAGATCGCACGATAATTGCGCGAGTTTCTAATAGCACATCTGCACGGTAATAACAGGCACGAAATAATCAGTTTTCTCTATTAAGACACAATGGTTATTCTATCTATGAAAGAACTAAGTCGAAATAAAAATTTGCATAGATGTCACGATGGCGATCTCTTCTCTATTACTTTAACCCACTGACCTTCCATCCTTTATTTAAAGACGATTTGTTTCAACGTTCGATAAGATCTCGACAATTTCCTATAAACCAAAACCTTTTAATTGTTCGGATCGTCATCGAGGTCAGAAGAAGCAGCTCAATTTCCGCGGAATTAGACGTTTTTTGGATTGAGCGATCGCAAGAATACTCGGAGATTGTTAGTTTGTCCAAACGCGAGGTTAATGAGTCCGGCCCTGAAACCAACATTATAAGACTCCTCAGCTTCCCAGACTGCGTGACGCTTCGAGTGCGAACGAAATCTCAGGTGTGGCATTAAAATGTTGACCGAGAGAGTCCATTGATGAAAGGTGACCAAAAAGAATGGACTAGAGAAAACTCTTGCGCAAGTGGATGAGTTCCATTTTAATTCATTTAAGCACACCTCTAAACCCAGAGTTTAACGGCAAAGTGTGGTCTAGACCTAAACACCTGCAGTAATGATAGAGTTCTTCCGAATGGGCACGGTTCGTTTGTTTTTGCCACAGCCTACGCCAGCAACAGTATTAATCAGTGTAATATTTTATGTACACGTAAGACTATTGAGAAAGGAATTATCAATGGCAGTAGCGCTAGAGATTTACTATTTACGTTGACGTAAATATTATTGCTCGAGCGGTATGTAAGTGGGACAAATTGAAATTAATATTGTTGTATATTGCTTTGCGCCGCTTCGGAACAGAAACTAACAAGTAAGGCCCCCTTTCACACGAAACACTTCGGTTGGGAAGCACTTTAATGGTTCGCCAAGATAAGTATTGCTGCTCACACTTAAATGTGCCCCAAAATTCTTCATTCGCATTACCGGCACTTTGGTAAATTGTACAAAACTTGGTATTGCATCACCTTCGACGACGAGTAGTTCCGAAGACGGACATAACTGTCGCAGCACCGAAAACGTTCCATCTCCCATAAAATTCTGAATTGGTAATGTCATCAAAACCGTCCCACAACTTTCGTCTACGGCACATTTCGATATTTCCAAAACGCTAAATAATCTCATTCGGTGCGCCGAACCATTAGGATTGGCCAGGCCGTGATTATGGTAATGGGTAATGGTAAAAGTGACCGACATTTGAATACGTTACATCTACATTATGTGCAGTCGATAATCAATTTCATCGACCCGCGTGGGCCTCTCAAGCTTTCGTCACGATTTCGTGACTGTGACGTTAGGTTTTGAAAATGTCTTGCATCTCACACTGGAGGCTACATGAAAACACGTTTTATATTTGTCACGCAAAAAAATTACCATATGTTCGACGAATTTTTCCACAACTTTCTACTGTTTTTACGCGAAAGCCAAAAATGAGTAACACTGCACAAAGTCTGCATATCTGCACAATGTTACGTCAGTGATTATACCTACTTTCTCTGATCTACAATGTACTGATTGTTGACATGGCTTTAGCAGACACGGCGGCGTCTAATGCTTCGTTTTTTTTTTCAGACTATGAGGTACAGGAATAAGCGTCGTGTCTTCAGCTGGATTTTTATATGGGCACATCTCCAGCTGGTTTCGAGCGAAGATGTTTCTCCGACCGACAGTAATTTCACTCAGCCAACTAATGGTACGCCCTCAGCCTTTGTTTGACCACACTTTTTTTTTAAAGAGATGAAGTTGTTGAAACAAGCACTTCCTATATTTAGCTACTATAAACAAAGAAAACGAGTTAAACCATTGATAATCACATCTCAGGCGTCATAAGAATTAGTAAACAATACAGACATCACACTCTAACCTAACTAGCTATAATACACTGGTGACATACTGACCTATACTACAATACTGTTTACGTTACATATTTATTTATCTCTTATTAGCATTTTCTTCACATTTGCGTTTGTAACTTTTCAGACAATCCGATTTCCAAAGACCTGCGCGGTCTTTTCTCGCCTCGAATGGACTACGATCAATGGAAGCCGCTCGGAAGAGGCGATCCATTAAAAAATGACCCAACGTACGACTACGTGCCACCAGTCCTGGACAGGGTTCACTACTGGATCGACCCAGCTCTGCGCAAACCCGACCCTCCGCTGCCCGGCGAAAGTCAGAAGACCGAAATATTGTTGCTGGGGGTGTCGTCCAAAAAACCCAGCACCGGGACCTCAGTTGCTGATTCGAGAAAAGATACGTACGATTCTTTTCTGAAATTCGTCGACGGACCCAAGTTCACCGGTCAAAGAAACACGAGACCACACTTTCCGATGACCTCGTCGTACTTCACGCCTTCGTTCTATTCAAAAAACAAGGGCTCTTTTCCAAAGACTAACGAACAAAGGATGCCTTACACGATGTTGATGCCGCCGCCAATGATAACGAAGAGACCAAATCCGGCGTCGTCGTATCCCGTACAAAAACCTGACGTACAAACTACTACAGTCGACTCTCTTACTGTGACATCCACGAATGTACCTGTAACTAACACAGAAACGTCGAATCCTGATGCGGAAGTAACAGTACAAGCGGCCAATTTGGTGTACCACTCGAGTAGTTTGGGTAATGCCAACGACTGGAAGACTACAGAGACGTCGACTAATTTAACTCCAAATCCGGCACTTTATTCTACGAAAAAGTTAAAACCCTACAAAGAGGAAGTGGTTTTTCAGAAACATTTGCAGCCTCCGGAGCCGTACATGCAGATCCAGTTTGCACCGCCACGACGTAATCTAACAAGTCAGCCATTAGTGGCAGCTAACAGTGATCATAACATTAATTATGTTACGCCTCCTCCTCTAATTGAACAAGAAATAATGCATAAAGGTCAAGTGTCTGACGATAATTTGGACATATCGAACACTTACGTGAAGATTGGTAAAACGGAAGCTCAAGTGCACTCTACTGCTATGGACAACATTTCTATTTTACCGCCAGAGAGTTTAGTGGGACAACCACCGAATATGATGATATTTTCCCACATGCCACCACTGACCCAAACTCCTTTAACCATGCAAACCATACAGAGCATGCAAAGTATGCAACCGCCTCCAGTAACCACAAGTCCTGTGTACAAAAAATCGACTAATCCCATTAGACAAGCTCTAGAGAGAGAAAAAGCGGAAGAATCAACCACTGAGAAAATAGAAACTAGCACAACACCATCTTCGTATGTAACTCTAACGACAACCATACCAACAACGACAATGACAACATCTTTAACCACAGATCCACTTTTTAAACACTATAAACAGCCGACGGAACCTTTAAGGGGTCCTCTGTATTTAATAATCCAAGGTCATTCGAAAGTGAAAACGTACGGAGCGAGCAAACAATATCATGGAATACGCGTACAAGAGACGAATGAGATCTCTGACGATAAGGAGGATACGCGCGTGAAACATTTGCATAACTATGTGAAGAAAGAAGAAGAAGAAGGAAATTCGCGAGAGGCGAGATCCGGGAATCTCCAAACTTTAAAACATGTGATTCAAACTAGATTGGGTGCCATTGATTTCAGTGATGTCGGAGCTGAAAGGAGAAAGGACCAAGGAGTCAAAGAAACGGAGCTCCAGTTCGGATATAAAGTAGGTGAAGATGTGACTAGTGAAAAGTATCATAAAGGAATCGTTGAAGAGGCTAGAAAACTCCACATGGAGGCTTAATTTTGTGATTTTTAATGTTATATTTTGTGCTATAATTTTTTATTTATTTTTATTTATACGTTTTTTATTTTTGCATATTTAGATGATTTAATAAAATATTTCGTAAGCATGTGTCGTCTTTTGGGAAACCTTGCCACACAAGCCGGTTCATTAATCAATACATTGTGCGAATTATTAACGTACAAATATGTATGAGAAATATTATCTTTTGAGAAGTTTATGTAAATTTGTAAACACGAACGACAAATATTTGGAGAAGTACAAGTAGGTAAATCATATGAGAGGCGACTGGTGTCGTCTGCGGAGTCAAGGATTCTGAGAAATCGAAGGAAGTAGCTGGAATGCATGTCTCATTTAGTTGTTTATCTGGTACTGAGGATTATTCTAGACAAACGACTGTAGAGAATGCGAAAAAACTCGACCACTGATAGAAGAACGAGGGAAGGACGTGCTATATGTGGTATGTCTGTCACGCATCAAATTTTTAAATTTCTAATTACGATTAAAGAGTACAAACACGAAAAGCAACTTTTTTGAAAGTGCTAAAATTAGATCTTATGTCTGAATTTGGAAATAGTTGGCGTGCTTCGAGTGGCTGGAATATTTGCAGCGGAAGTATTTTGTAGTTTTTAGTGATAACAACATTAATTAGACCAAAATACATAAATTATACGTTATCATTATCATAATAAATTCAAAAAAACGAGATGTCGCATAAACGCGTTTTATTTTTAGTGTTTGCAGGATAGTATCCGAGATCAATTAACGCAGGATTCCAGTTCCCAATAATTCTAAAAAGCTTTCAAAGAAAACAGCACGTCAATCACAATTTCTTGGAATTAATTTCTAGTGTAAAATACAGCGAGGAACGTTGACGACAAGACGGCATTGCCTTTTAAGTTCCTCGTCATATTTTATCCATATAGAGAGAACTTATTCATACCTCGTACGTCGGATTTCAGAGTTAAGATAAAATTTTTCGGATCCGTCCGGAAAGGATTCTTTGAAAGATCACTGGAACAGTTCTCGAGTAGCCAACGTGAAGCGTGACAAAAGGCTGTTCAATAAATTGATCGTCAGCCCAGAATGCGGTAATGGATAGTTAAGGAAATAAGTGGCGAGTATTGTACTTGAAATATCCATATAGTGAAATCATTAAGAAGCTGAAAAAATATCACCAAATGTGTAACTTCCTGCGGAGGAGCGAGGAAATCATTAGTTATATTTTTTGTATCGCACAGAACTAGATTATAAATTAGACAGAAGCGTGCTTCGCATAAGAGCCACTTTGACACACTGACACACACTCTATGTATCATTGAATAATTTTACTTTATTTACACCATATAACTATTTGTAGCTACACGCGATTATACTTAAAATACCAAAGACGACACACGAGGAAGTTTCGTTTGCTGGTTCCCAAGTAAAAAATTGCGGTGCTCTCTTTCCGCACGATTTTGTTCTTGAACATCCTCATCGGATACTTAAGTACAGGATAATTGGAGTCATAAACAATAGTGGACAAGAAACGGTTAAATGGTTATTGCAACTGTCCGATAATCAGGTTTGAGACCACAGGTGTTGCACCTCACCAGAGCTGGCCGCCGCCACGCCGTTTTATCACACTTTTTACCGCCAGGCGAAGAATTTTACCCACCCGCAATCATTCTCTTTGAAACTATACTACCTTACATAAAAACCTGCCTTATTAACCAAAATTAATGGCTGTATCTTTCGCGAGGACTGGCACGGAAACAGAACACCTTCCTTGAGGAGAAGCAATCTAGACTCTCTTTATAGATTTAAAACTTTAAAAAACTTGTATAAAGGGGACGCGGATCAGAATCGTCTCCTAAGAAATAAATGTCGTTTCTACAACCTAGTAAATACTGATTTAAATACTATTCATGTACAAACCATGAATGTCCTCGGGTTTCAGTCCTGACAACCATTTAGGCTGACGACTGCTTACAATGGTAATAACCGTATATTTTGATGAATAATACTATTATTGAAGTGTCTTTTAAGTTAATACCGTGCTTGGTGCCTCATAGGTATTGTCTGCTCACTGGAAAAATTTTGATGATGTAATTTTCCAAACTATGCTGTTCCGATTAGTGCGAAATCTTCAATGTATTTAGAGATTGCAGTGAGGACTCCGAGACGAAAAAAAAATCTGCTCACCTCCTCGAAAAAATGATGACATCATCGTAAATTTTAATAAATAAATGTCACTTGAAATATGAGCATGCTACTCTCCTTTATTTGTGGCTTAATGATCTACTCCTGTTCTTAACTTTACCTTTATGGGTTGTCCAAAAAAATATACCATAAACTTTAATAGTTTATTTAAGAAAACACACTGTGGACTTTGTTGCTTTAATAACAAAAAATGAAGTTTCAAGTTTTTTTTGGGTTTTTTAACGGCATCATGTTCTGTAAGATTTATGTTATGAATTACTTTATCATGTCATCACTGTCTATAGTGAATATTGTCAATTTACAGATTATTATATTTCATTAACTGAAAACATGTACAGTAATCGATTTTGGTTGACTTGAAAAAAGGTCGGTTAATTTCGTCAAAACGCGATTTAGATCAGTTCACTGTCATTGTTATGGAAATTTTACCTCATACGCTTCCACTCTACAACACTGATTATTTTCGAGATAAATCTGATGGAGTATGTTCTACCACGTAACTGGTCCATCAAGAAAGAATATCGTGTATCGCAAAATAAGAAATGACTCATACTTTGCCACACCACGGTTTTTTCGCATGTTCCTTGTTAATGATAGCTATATTTTTATTTTTTATTTTAAAATAAAAGCTGTCAGCGATAGTAACTTCTACAGGTACCGAAATTAGATACCGAGATAATAAAACTAGCGTGGAATATGTTAGTCGTTTTAGAACTTTACCGACAGTTTTATGTTAAGAAAAAAACACTACGATGAATGAAACTTTAACGACTAATTATTAGATGTTGACATATATCCGCTTCTAATGTACACGTAACGTTAAAAAGGCTAAACTTTTTCTTGTCTTTGTTTTTAATTCACTTTAAAGACATTTATATTAAATAAAATGATTATTATGTAAAACAACAATTGTTGGTCTGCGCATCACTGACAATACTGACGACATGTATATTCAAACAATTTTCCTGATGAGGAAGAGTAAATAATATTTAATATTTGCATCACAGTGATTTTTTTATTTTTTAGAACAAGTTTTTTCCTCCGACATATAACATAAATACATATACAATTTCACTGCATGTAAAGTGTTTTTTTAAAACAATATATTTTCAAGATTTAGATCTATTAGTGACAATAAAGTTTCGAAAAAAATACATGTACAGTACCTAACTGTACTCACTACCTCGCTACTAGATGTAGTTTTAGTGCACTGTATCATTTGTCAGTGTACAATTTCTTTTATTGTAGATCAGATTTATGAGATATTATTATTCAAAAAGTAATCACAGTTGTAGCAAACGTAACCGATTTCATTCTTTCAACCGTTTAGTTTATTATTATTTTAGACCTCCAAACACACCTTGTACTTTTTTAACAGTTAGATACCTCTCAAAACTTGATACATCTTAATTCCTTGGAATGAAAATAAATTTTGTTTTATCTATCTCCTTTAATATCTGAATCTGCTCTTAAAATTATCTGATCAAAATTGATTGGTTTACGATTAGTATTTTATTTACATTAAAAGAGAGTCAGTTCTTAATTATGAATTAGGATCATTACATCGCTGAAGTTTTTTGAAGATTACGTAACGTAACACCAAATAAACTACCGAATAACCGTGCGAAATTATCTTCGGAAGGTGGGCTGCTGAAGTTCAAGGCAACACAATTAAGAATTAATAGTTTTCGTGCAAGGTTATAGTAAATTATCATTATTATTGATGAATGCTTATAGAATCGACGACCTAAAGGAGAAAACGAGCCAGATGTTTTATTTCATAAACTGTTCATTGTTTGACAAAGAAGTTTCTGAAACGAACTGCTGACAGTAATGACATCGTTGTATTGAATTCAATCAAAACCATCGTTACAAGATCAAAAGCAGGACATCGTTGGACCACCTTACCAGTTCCTTCTAACAAAATATCTTAAAGATAACAACAACTAAATTATTAAAGCTGAAAAGATGTCTATCTATTGTGTACATTAACATTATTCTACTAACGAAAAGAAAAAAAAAACATGCGCCACAATAGGATTATCCTCGCGAATGTCCGATTTTATTTTTTCTTGACGTCTTATTTATAAAAAATGAAAATACCCCGCTTTCAGTCTCTTTAGCGCCTGTCTGCGATCTGTCTATTAGACCGTAAGTAATTTTATTCAGGAGATGATCTTCTAAAGTATCAAACCAATTACTCTCAAATTTTAGTCATACTTTAAAATTATCGTGAAAGTGATCAAACGGTAACCAAAATTTGTCCATCCATCAACTGCAAAAAACTGATGACATCATCGCAAAGTATCGTTAACTGTGCGGAATCACAGAACTTCTCTTCATCTTGTTTCTCTGAAAACAATTAAAAATTTGATTTTTCGATTTTTCCTTCCCGATCTGGAAGTATTAAAATAGGGTCCATACATCGAGCGACTACTTTAATGTTTTCTCAACATTTCATGACACAAAATAGATATGTCTCCCGTTTCCGTCTATCTGTTGCTTGTCTGTCTGTCGCCTATCGACTATTTGTCTTCTGTCGTCTGTGGCAATATACCGGGTGTCCCACCGTACCTGTTCCGCTTAAATACATATCTCAATTATTTTAAAACATAAAAATTTTGACTTACACATGTTCAATATAGGTAATACAACCTATTAGCATCGTATTAGCTTCAGTTTCACTGGAAATGACATCAATTTTTTAATCTAAAAGAGTACAGTTTGGAGTACTATAAAAGACAGCATTTTTTTCTTGTTTTAATGACATATGACTAGGTATAATAGTATTCATTTAGAAGCTTTAAAACGCTTGTGAATTAAAAAAAAATACGGTGGCGTTTCTCAAGCAAAG